CTCGGCCTCCCAAAGTGCTGGGATTACAGGCGTGAGCCACCGCGCCCGGCCGGGAATATGCATTTTAATAAGCTTTCCAGGGATTCCACTACAGTGGTTTGCAGGCAATAGCTTGAGAGACACTGGCTAGTTTAGTATTTGGGTGGAAAACATTTCCATGGGTTATTCTTGTTAGGCACTTGTTTGTTTGAATTTAGTTTTTTAGAGATGGTGATTTCACTCTGTCACCCAGGCTGGAGTGCAGTGGCACTGTCATAGCTTCACTATATAGCTTCAACCTCCTGGGCTCAAGTTATTCTTCTGCCTCAGCCTCCGAAGTAGCTGGAACTACAGGTGGGCGTCTCCTCACCTAACTAGTGTGTGTGTGTATGTGTGGAGATGGGGGTCTCCCTTTGTTGCCTGGGCTAGTCTTGAACTCCTGGCTCAAGTGATCTTCCTGCCTCGGCCTCCTAAATTGCTGGGATTACCACGTGAGCCACCTTGCCTGGCCAGAAATGGCACATTTTGAATTCTTCAAATGAAAACTCAGTAGTTGAAAATAATTCTATTTGTTTGTTTGTTTGTTTTGGAAGCCACTATTGCTGAAGATAGTTTATTTCACTACAGCATCAATCCTAGTATAATTTTTAAGGAACACATCAGTTTTCCTCTCAGGATTATTATTCCTGGATTTAAGTTTTAATTTTTCCTTTACTGTTTGCCATATTCTTAAATTTTTCTATTTTCAGAAACCAGGAAGCAACCACTTTCCAAAAAGACAAAGAAATCTCATATTGCTAATGAAGTTGAAGAAAATGACAGCATCTTTGTGAAGCTTCTTAAGATATCAGGAATTATTCTTAAAACGGGAGAGAATCAGAATCAACTAGGTAATATTTTAATCTAACTTTATTCTGTGGTTTTAATGAAATAACTCAGGACTGAATCATGGGTTTTCTAAATAGAGAGGCAATGAAGATTAGAAATGAGAGGGCCATCCATCTTGAGACAAAGTTGAAATTGCTTTTTAGAAAATGATACAATGAGGCCAGGCACGGTGGCTCACGCTTATAATCCCAGCACTTTGGGATGCTCAAGGCAGGCGGATTGCCTGAGCTCAGGAGACCCGCCTGGGCAAAACGGTGGAACACCGTCTCTACTAAAATACAAAAAATTAGCCGGGCGTGGCAGTGTGTGCCTGTAGTCCCAGCTGCTCGGGCGCCTGAGTCAGGAGAATTACTTGAACCTGGGAGGCAGAGGTTGCAGTGAGCCAAGACCGCACCACTGCACTCCAGCCTGGGCGACAAGAGTAAGACTCCATTTCCAAAAAAAAAGGAAAAAGAAAATGGTACAGTCTTTGGTCCTCATTACTATGTGTTAAGTAAAGCATTTCTCATTCTTTTATTAGAAAAAATATTATGTATTATTTCTTTTGTGTTATGAAAAAATAAATATTCAGAAAGCAGCTATATCAGTGTCAGAATAATTTCAGAAGAAAATGTATAAAGCCATGTAAGATTCTGTTTTTGGGGAACAGATTATTCCGTCTTGCTAAGGTTATGGCAGGTCTTTTTTAGAACACTTAGTGGCTATCTGCTATCAAAGCTAAGTCTGTTTGTTTGTTTGTTTGTTTGTTTGTTT